ATCACTTTGAATTGGTGTGAATTAGTGAACTGAAATAGAACAAAGTCAGATTTGGTAGGAAGAATAAGAGGGCATTGGCATGCACTTCTTTGTCCTACTTTATCCAGAACACAAGCTTTGGGTGTGTTTGGGGAATGGGAATCACTACGGAATGTGATGTGAACTCATGATGCTTTGAGAAATCATGATGCTGATAACATAAAGTAAGAGTGAAAGATGTTTGTCAAAGATGGAGGCTATCCCATTCAATAATTTGTTACATTTTTGACCGAAAAATCTCTTATGAAAGATTGTGTTAATACTATCGAACGTTTGTGTAGTCGTCGGTAATCTTCTCGTGTGGATAGTAAGATCATAATAAATATTATCATCATCAAGCGAGGTTGTAGATAGGTTTTAGGTAAACAACGAAGAAGATAAGGGAAGAGAAGAAAGATGATAGCTATATGGCTTCGAGTCTACTCGTAGCTCATACTTTTACTAACCCAACATATGCATTATCTAATTACTGTTTCCTAAAAGAGATCAGTGTTACATAGCCCCCGCATGAAGGAATAAAAAGTGAGGGAGAATATTAAATTTTTAAGATTAATATATTATATTTGATTTTACTAAGAGAGAAGAAAAAAAATAAGGATACAATTCAATTATTCTCATATAATCTAAAATTATAATGGCCTTCGTATTATTTTTGTCTATAATCTCTCTATTTTATGACCCTGATTAATATTTAAGTTTATTTTTAAACTATCCCTAATATTTCTTAAAATACCAACACATTAATATCAACATTTGTGTTGTTCAATAACACCCAACATTTCTCTAAGACACTCAAACTTATCTTTTGGTAGTGTCTTGGTGAATATATTTGCTACTTGATTAGTGGAGTGATGCTTGAGTGCAATGTGTTTAATGCGACTATAGTAAATCGAGTTCTTTGCTATTGCTATTAATGATTTGTTATCACAAAATATCTCTATTTTTTTAATTTGTTTTTCCCTAAGAATTATTCTCAACCAAATTGCTTGAGAAGTAGCCATAGATGCTGAAACATATTAAGCTTTTGCAAAGGATTCTCCTACTGATTGCTTTGCTATTTCTTTGAGCTCCAAAAAAATACATCTTTACCAAAAGAAAAAACATAACAAAAAATATTCTCCATGTCATCTATACATCCACACTAATCACTATCATAAAATCCAATCATCTTCCAAACTTCTTGTTTGTCAAACTTGATTCCAAATCCTTTAGTGTCTTGTAAATATCTGAGATTTTTTTTTTGCAGCTCCAAAATGAATGTGACTAAGACTGTTCATGAATCCAAAAAGCATACTTACAGCAAACATAATATCTGACTTTGTAGCTGTGAGATATAACAAATTACCAATTAAACTTCTTTCCTCCATCTCTTCTCTTTAGTTTTTCACTTATTAGTAGTGGTGTTGCTACAGAATGTCATTCAAATATATTAAACTTCTTTATAATCTTATCCACATAATTTCTTTAAAAAATAAACATATTATTTTTCTCTTAACATATCTCAATGCCAAGAAAGTGTCTTCACTCATATCATATTTATTCACCAAATCATTTTTGAACTACTCTACCATTTTTGTACTATTCTTTATGAAAACTAAATCATCAACATAAACTACAATAATAATTATACCTGAACCTTTTACTGTTTTGGTGTATAAAGTAGATTCACTCTTGCTTTTCATGAAGCTTTTTTGCATTGAAGTAGTCATCATCAATCTTATTGTACCAATCACATGGTGCTTTCCTCAACCTATATTCTTACCTTTCTTGCTTTTCAATAATAAAATTAGGTGCCTCCTCAACACAACACAGACCTCTTCTTTTAATTCTCTCTTAAAAAATAATTGATTTCACATCAAGTTGATACAACAACCATCCTGTATGGGTTGCTAGTACAATCAAAATTCTAATAGCATTAAAGCAAGCAACTGGGTGTAAAAGTTCCATTATAGTCAACTCTATACTGATATGAGTTGTCTTGTTTTTTTGCACTCAGCATTATATTTCATCTTGTGAATCCATTTGATACTAACAATACCTTTGTTTTGAGGTATATCAACTACTTCCCCAGTATTATTCTTTTCTATCACAACAATCTCTTCTTTCATAGCTTTCTTCCAAGCTTCCTATTTGATGGCTTCTTCAAAGTATTGTAGTTCTAACACACAATGATTGCACCTATGGTAGATGTCATTCAAAATTCTCATTCTGACTAGAGTTAAGTTGAGACATCATGAACTTCAACTAGATGATGGTGTAATAGAATTTGATATATTTGAGGATAAACATGCATGATTTACATATTCTTGAACCTATCCTAATGGTACTATTTTGACTACCATTATTCTTCTTCCCAATTCAAAGCAGCACTTTCATCAAATATGACATCTATGCTGACTACCATTTTCTTGCTTTTTAAACTGTAATGCATGTAGCCTTTAGACTATGATGCATAACCCAAGAAAGATGCACTTCTCATTTGCTTTTATCTAACTTGTGTCTTCTCTCTTTTGGAACTTCAGCATAACATAAGCTTCTAAAAATTTTTAGATTTCTTACTGATGATTTTCTTTCATTCTAAGCTTGAAAAAGGAGTCTTACTTTCTAAGAATTTTGTTAGACACTTATTAAGAAGATACACATCAGTATACACTATTTCAGCTCAAAATATATTAGGTAAATCCTTTTCTTTAAGCATTAGTCTTGTCATTTGCATTATTGTTTGATTTTGCCATTCTATCATTCAATTTTCCTGAGGTGTGTGTAAGGGACTATATTCTATCTTTTAATACCTTCATCTTTACATAACTTGTCAAACTCATAGGATTTATATTATCTATCATGATCACTTCATAAAGTTTTAATATAATAATCATACTTTTTCTTAACAAAGCATTTAAACATTTTGAAAATGGTAAAAACATTGGACTTTTGTCTCATAAAGTAAACCCAAGTTATGAGTGTATAATCATTAATAAAGAGAATAAAATATTTATTTTGTGCATGAGAGAGGATCTTCATGGGTCTACACATATTTGTTTGGCTCTCTAAGCAACACCTTTAGGGAATGATTGATTGTGATATTTTTCAAATGCATATTCTTCACAAATATCTTGCTTCTCTTCAATAAAAGATAGCTCTTTCATCATTGATCTTTGTGATATAAACTTAAGGCTATCAAAATTCAAATGACCAAGTCTTTTATGTCAAAACCATGAATCATCAATCATAATTGTGTTTCTAACAACATTATTTAAATATCCAAGGGAAAGGGAAAAAGTCCCTATTCATCATTTTTTTACTTTCTATCAATATTTATCTTTTATCTTTTTTTTGTCATTGATAATGCATCTATCATCTTCAAAATTAGAGAATACCCAATTAGTTGGTCAATACTCAAGAGATTCTGATCTAAATTTGGTATAAATAGTATATCATATTTTTTTTTCAACTTCTCTTTTTGTTTAAACACCAATTGCGCTCTTTCTTTTCACTTCTACAATTGCACCATTGTCCATTCTAACTTTAGATTGAAATGAGGTGTTCATGTTACAAAAAAATATTTTCTTTCGTTGTCATATGATTACTACAAGTACTATCAACATACCACAGTTTATCTTTTTGTTCTTGAACACTTTGGCATATATAAAATAAATTTACCTCATTTTCTTTTTCTTCTGAAAAATTTGCTTACTGATTTACGCATTAGTATCAATAGAAAGGAACGGTTCGTGAGCTTCACCGTCGTAAATAACCAGCAATGGCAAGAGCAAGAAGACCTCATCACATCCCGGAGGAGTAGAAGAACCCATGGCCATTGTAGATCACTGTCACCTTCACGCCATGGTGGAACGGATCGATGATGAGGGCAGACGACAGCCTTGCCATTGCAATACAAGCAAGAAGAGGATGTCCAAGCTGACACCAAAGTGAGACATGATCACATTCTACTTGTTTCATTCGTCTCTCAACATTACATGATTCTGATTGCTAAGTGTTAGTCATGATATGTAATTTAAATCCTGACAGTAGTATTGTTGTGTATTTGCCATAGTGATGGAGATTTTGTTGTGATTCAACATAACCTATTGCTTCATCCTTTTAGCACCTTCGCGCGCGCTCGCACACACACACACATAAACACACACAAAGATGAGATTCGAGTAGAGAATATTATGATGAACAGTAAGTCTTTTATCAACTTGATTGATCAATACTATATTTACAATTCACATAAAATATAGTGAGATTTCAATAGAGAGAACACATCGAGTGGCTGCAGTCTATCAGTAGGTCTATGGCTGTGTATATATAATATGTATGCTGAGCTGAGTTCTGTTGCTGTCTGTGATGGCCACAACACCAGGGAGTAGAATTATTATAACTCCAAATTGTCCCACACCAAGTCAGATCTCACATATATCACTTACAATATAACTTGTTGCAGAAAGCAGCATTTGATAAAGCCATGCACTCTCATATTTGTCGTGTTGTAGTGCAAGTTTTGGATCTTGATGCTGGCATCTTCAATTTCTTTTAATATTCCAAGTTAGGTCAAGTTGCAAAGGGCCATACATTGATTTGGTTCTTCATACAACATTTGCACATCTTTTTCTTGCCATTAATTACTTTTCTCATCTTCTGCTGCTAACCTTTGGTCTTGTTCAACAGCCATGATATATACTGCCTTTGATCAAGTATAATCTCTTTATGCATAAGATCTCAATGATAATACAACATATTACTCCTTTCTCTCTCTCTCTCTCTCTCTCTCTCTCTCAAACTCCAATGTGCATGAGCTCAAAATGGCAAGTATGCATGACATGCTTCCTCAGCATGATCTCAGAAGTTGTAAAAATGATGTTGCAGTGGTCGATGAACAATTTGCAGGTCTGTTGTTGTAGGAACAACAGTATCATCTGCAATCAAGCTCCTACAGTCAAGACATACATGCAGTAACCGTTTTAGTGTAAGACAAAGGTAGCAGAACATGAATAGATTAGCGATATCTATAACCATCGTTTGGTGTCTACTCTAATGATCGAGTAAGGCATCTATTTTTACTAAAAGATGATCATGAAGTGACTACGACTAATGCATCTATACGTTGTGAAAGAGATTATTTTACAGACCTCCACTTTACACAATGACTAGATTAGTTCTAGCAGAAGAGCATTTGCTTGCATGAACAGCAAGAAAAGCTTATGATGATCCGAAAACAGCAGATGGTGCACGCATGTTAGTTGAAACAACTAGCAAAGAGTTGCATAGAAAACTTACTCTCGAGGAGATCGAGAAGTCAATATGGAGCTCAGAGCACGAAGGCGGGTGTAGTACTCTCCGATTGCCAGGAAACATCTTGCTGCTAGTCTGATGGTTAAGTGTCGACGCAAATTGTGCAAGGTCTGTCGTCTCAAGTTGTCAGCCTGCACAGCCAAAGTCTTAAAGAGTTACTGCAGGTTAAGTAAAACCACAAAATGACCTTAGGGTTCTATCTTGCCTTGTTGACATAATTAATAGACATGCAAGAAGTGACGGAAATCAAAAGAGGAAGAAATATTCCATTTATTGTTCATGATGTTTGTTAGAAAAGGCTTTCTTCTCAAGCTTTGTTGCCTACCGGACAAGTATTCATGGTCATATTAAAGAACAAAAGAAAAAAAGCTTCTAGGGTGTTCCAATCCCAAAGAATATATCGATCAAGTTTATTTAGATATGAGTCATATATAAGCCTACCATGCATTGGACCCTCTACATATTGAATATGATCCATGATGTTTGGGAAAGAAGAAAGAAAAGGATGAAGCTACCTAATCTACATGTCCATTAAAATGAGAATATATTCTTTCTTCTTTGTTGGACACCAACTGATGCATCTTTTAATGGGTGGAACATACATGCTGTGCAATCCAAGTATCTTTTCTTAGGGTTAGGAGGTAAGAGAACATATGAAGGGCCATCTGGAACATGAAATATTCTTCGTTAACTTTGCAGAAATGTTATATTACCTGATGAGGATTCTTTTCCATGTTCTTTTTTATATTAGCAGCGGAATTGAGCTACCATATAGTAAGTATTCTATTTGCTTATGGCAACCTTTATAAGAAGATACTAGGAAAGACCTGGCTGACGAATTCTTCGAAGTCGACAAGCTTTCCCAGTGCGGCGGCCATGAGGTTCATGTATTCTCCGTCGCCGATGCCATCGCAGAGAGACCTGCCGGCAATTATTTGTGTCAAAGAAAGGTGGAGATGCCCGAGGCCCAGGGAGAGCGCCTCCTCCGCCTGCTCCGACGAGTGCTTCAGGTTGCAGATCCACACCAGCTGTTGCTCCAACGGATCCAGCTTCGGAATCAGTATCTGCTTGAAGTCATCAACATGATGATGTGATCGCAGCGCACGTATAAAGTGTAGGAGAATGGGATGCATGGAAACTTACGTTGAGTAGCTCAGAGGGCTTAAACCCACCCATCCACAGGAAGCAGCGCTCCGCCGGGGTCTTCCACGTTCCATTCAAGAGGTGGAAGACGTCGGCTTTTGCAACAGTGGCTTTCAGCTGGAAGAGCTCATCGTAGTGCCTGATGCACTCATCCACCAAGACACCAAGATTACCCTCAGGAGGGTGAGCCTGTAATGCATTTCGGAGGACCGACATGAGCTTGCATCTCTCGGCCAACCATCGGGCATACTCCATGTCGAACAACGCAGCGCCTGTAGCAAGAAAGGATGAGATCTCTAGCCAGTAAGCTGTAGATTGAGATGGATGAGGAAGGTAGCTTATCACCGGGACTGATGACTCCAGTACTGCCGGCTGCTGCCAGGAAAAGACCCTAACACCGATCAAGTACGGAGGAATCACTGTCAAGATAATTAGATGATAGAAGCCCAACCATAAGAACGCATCAAACCTGTGATCTTGCTCTGTCGAGATCATGCTCGATCTGTTGAAGCCTAACTTTACTGGACTCTAGTTGTTGCACGTAAGCCTGTTTACATGGATGCGTCAGATTGGTTCATGAATCAAACGAGATAAAGAACAACCAGGGTGTGTTCCTTAATGGAGATTGGAAGAGTGCACCTTTTTCCTCAGTCGGCTCTTTCGTGCTGCCTCTCGATTTTGAGCCAGGCGTCTCAGTGCCTTGTAAATAATTTGCAAGCACATAAGAAAATTCCTTTAAATGAAATAAAATTAAAAGGCTCGTATCTGAAAGCAAAAAAGGCAGTCAAAATACAAGCATTCCTACATGCTGGGACTTTATAGTTAAGGAATTTAGATAAAACTTGATGATACAAGGATATTATCCCATCATAAATTTCTTTGTTCCTCCTTTTCTGATAAGATTCATGTCAGCAGTTCAGAAGAGGAATTAGATGGAACAGATTCCACTTTCTTTCTTTCTTTTAAGCTCATAAAAATGGCTTATATCCGTATTTCATACTGTTATAAACATGCATATGAGAGAGAGAGAGAGAGAGAGAGAGTACCTTATCATCAAGCACCTTTCCATCTTTCGCTGTAGTTGAACCGGTCATCGTTCTCTGAAACAGGCAATACAAAGTTCCTGTTGAGCTTCAAGTCAAAAGACGTACCTTTCTACAATATTGGCAGCACCATAAAAGTGTGTGAAGGAGAAGAATTCAACAGTGAAGGTCAGATAACGACAGATATCAGCAGAAATGCTAAATACTGCTCCTGCACATACAAATGCTATGGTGGAGTCCATGAACCAGGTAACGTCAGAACTCGAAGACTGTGAGGAGCACAAGAAACAGAGAAGGAAATCACGAAGGGAGATCGAGTTCTATTGAGAGGTACTAAGGTCCTTGGCCTGAGACTTGATGTGAAATTAGCCAAGTCCTTGTGATCGAGGAGGTAAAATGGGCCATATTTATGATTTGTTATTACCTTTTCTTGGGATGAAGGCTGAGGATTCCGTGTTTCTCCTGTCCTGGAAACAGTACTTGACATCATCATCTCTTGCTGCTGCTTGCGGTCAGCCAACTCGCCTGAGGAGTCCTTGCTGTTGTCTGGGGAGTCTGATCCCACATGACACCCATAGTTTTGAGCTGAGCCTGGATCAAAGCTCCTCGCTGAGAGTGTGTTAACCTGCTGGAAATAAAGCAGGTGCCATGAAACCTGAATGGAGCAGCAAACCATCTCCTCCTCCTTTTGGCTTATCTCATACCTACTTCTACGCCAAGTCAAAACAAGCAAGACCTTACTCTGGGAATTTGCTGGTGTATCATTGGCCACGATGGGAAGATCTCGAGTGTTGCGGGTCTGCTCGCAAGAAAAGCTGCAAGAAAGAAATGAACAACTAAACAGTGCTTCGAAGAGAACTTATTCCTTTCTCTAGCAGGGTCAAAAACAATCTGAGAAGGGAGGAGTCATATGAACTGTTCTCGATGTGGATAGAACTAGAAAAGGCCAGCGAGGAAAGAAAGAGCGAAAGAGGCGTACATTTTGTGTCTTCAGTTCCTCTCATGCCATCGACTCCCTGAAAGAGAGCCTCCTCCAACTCCCCAAAGCAAGCAGCTCCTTCCAGATCACTGAGGTGGCAAAAGAAGTCCATGTTAGTCATCAAAATTCAACATAGAATAGGAAGAAAGCAAAAGGAAATTGATTCTACCCCAGGCAATTACTTGAATGACCGAAAGAGTTGAGGTAGGAGGGATCTTCCATTCTTTATGACAACAGATAAAGAGGAAACGGAGGGGAAAGTAGAAGAAAGAGGGGGAGGAGGATTTGTGTAGATGGGAGAATCGAAGAGGAGCACATAAATGGATTGGGCCAATACCTTTTTTGGAGATTGGTGGGCAGAGGTGTAACACATTAAGGATGGAATATATAACAAATAGGTTCTTGTGAAGTTAAAAGGAGGAAAGCAGCAGCAGCAGATAGCACAGAATAAAGAGCCCACTGAACCATTTGAATATTGGTACATGCAGGAGAGTGAGAGCACATTTGTGGGAGGACAGAGGGCGAGAGGAGGAGAGGGAAACAATGGTGGAGTTTGTGTCAGGAAGCAAGTAGAAGTCTGCTGTCTATCAACTCCAGTCCCTGTAGCAAATTCTTGGAGAAGTATATACTCAACCAACCTGGCATTGGATACAATAGAAAAAGGTCAGGAAAGATTCATCTCCTTCTGATGACAAAGCACACACTGCAATGTTAAAAACCTAGAACTTCTTGTTCACGGGGTTGTTTAATTGAAGAGAGAGAGAGAGAGAGAGAGAGAGGAGTACTTAATACACTTAGGAAGAGGTCAAACTGCTAGTTCTAAGCATGAGAAGGTTTACTGTTGATCATGGCAATCCAGAGCAGATTCTTCAAAGATCTCACTGTTGAATACATATAGCAGTGCCAAAAATTTCATACACTATGTCAGCAGAATTTGAGATCTATTACCCATTAATTGCCAAATAGAGAGCATCTTTTTCCTATTCACAAGTCATAGGAAACTTATGCAGAGTTGTATGGGACAAATTGGCTCCAATCTTCCTGTGTGGCCTGTAAAAGAAAAGAATACCTATCACTTTGATTATATATATGTACAATGAAATGAATCAACCAAAAACAAGTCTCACAAAATATTCAGCATGAGAAAGACATACCAAAGAAATGAAAATTGTTGATGAAGAACCATTCGAGAAGACAAGATATAGGACAAACCACAATCCACCTCCAATAATTGCAGCCATGTTGCGTCTCCAGCCATAAAATTATTAAGGTGTGAATGATTAAATTGATCAACCCTTTCAATAAAAGATCAACTACAGTCAAGAAACTATATTTTGTGTCCATATCGACTAGCTCTGCTCCTTCTGAAGTTTAGGTACCAAGTTCTCAAGCGACTTATTATTATTATCTATTTTGGGACAGTTGTCATGGTATGCTGCAATATTCTGCCATGCAATAATAACGAATAGAGTCTCCCAGTTACCCCAGCCAGATGGTCATTCTGCCATGCCTTTTCTAAGAGGTAATCAGCTATCCCAGCCGCAGGACTTCCGTGGAAAGGAGACAAAGCAGGACAGTGACGAATAGGATGGCCACTGGCATATCATGAGCTTTAAATACCAAGATAATTTGTCCTCTGATGTGATGACTTCAAGAGCACTAAGTGTCAAAGACTTCAATCGGCACCTTGGAATCTAAGATTTCTCTTTCCTGCAACTGCCAATACAAATCATTGAAACCATGATAACATAATATTCCAATTACACCACAGAAAGCATCACAATTGAAAAGCTTCACATAAGGCACGGAGACAAGCGAGGTTTAATTAATAGAAGACAGACAGACAAAATAGAAGCAGCAGCTGCAACATGCAACCAACCAGCCAAGACTGAGACCCAAAGAACCTGGAAGGCTCACTGACCCTTCAAACATTTGCTGAAAGCAACGCGTCAAAATCTGGGACGAAATAGCTTGAAATCCATGGCTGTCCGTGAGAGCTTAATCAGTTATTTCTTCGAATATCACGTTGATATAAATCAGAGAAACCCATCGGTGAAAGCAATTAGAAGGCAAGCAGCACAAAATAGTTATGAAACAATTAATAAGTCTTACCTTCACATCTGTAGATGAAGACACGAACAAAGGAGCTAAGGTGCAGAGACCGATGCTGTTCACCACCTGCGGCTGGCAAAATCCAATCAGCAGATGATGGTTTTTGAACGAAATTATCAACCCTCCATGACAACTTCAAATATTTGTTTGCAAATTAAGAATAAACACCATAAACAGATCACAGAGTTCTCAAATACCAAACCATGCACCATTGATGTCTAAATATTTAATTTCATAGAAAGCATACACCGCCCCCAAAGTTGCAAAACATGCATAACTTCGCATGGTTTCTGTGGTGCTTGCAACTTGTTGGGTACCTCTATGAAACTTTGACAAAAATAATGGTCATTTTGATGCACACCGAAGACTAAGATCAATAACAGTCATTTTGGCATTGGATCAAGTTTATTACATCATGGATAGAAGGCCACAATGGCCATAACTGGTACAGATAAATAATACCATACAGAAACATGCTCACAGACTGTTCTAACTAATTATTCCATAAAAAAAACAGAATAATATGAAGAACATCAATGGTTTTAACTTCTACCACCCAAGATTACATTTTTATTCATCAACAGACTAAAAGTGACCAGCATGATGAACATACTCCTACATGTAAAATGGCTATATGAGGACAGGTATGTTGAAAACCATTTAATGATGTTCACTCTTCATCTCTTGGGCCATAAACAAGAGATGTTACTTGGACACTACTGAAAGTTCCCAGATCTTTATCGTCCCATCATCACTGGCTGAAGCAAGAAGTCTTGGTTCCTGCAGCAGGGTCATACCACAAAATGTACAGTTAACAATTGCAATAGACCCAAAGAACAAAGAGTATACGCATTTGAATGCAAAAAATACATCATGACTAATAACCAGAAATCCAGTTGTAAATAAAAGCAAATCACCTTCATATTCCATTGCACGGAGTTCACATCCATGTCATGAGCTTTTTCTTTCTTAACCAACATCTTATAAGATGGTTGATCAACCTGAAGTCCACAATATTAGCTGAGAGAATGTTGACCGCTCACACTAATCATTTCAACGAATAAATAAAAACATAATTTCCTATTATCCTCATAAACAAACCCACAAGCATGAAGCACATGGAAAAATGTCACCACAATGAAGCAATTTTGAATTGTTCGACCATAACTTAGCAACAAACTGTCTACAGAATGACCTTCAAAACCCTAGTTCTTTAGTTTGGCAGAATGGCCATGGGCCTGCAGGAAATTTGCATGATCAAAACCTGGAGAAATCTAACTACTTGATGCAATAAAGACCGTTAACAATATGAGCTTGTTCAGGAAAAATACAGATTGCCGCATATGACGAGAAAAACAACAGCATCACTTAACAAGGCTTTTGGAACATGCTAAAAGATTGGTGGATATAGATCTTAAATACACTTACCTGAATATCAAGAAATGAACATGAAAAACATGCTACAATTACATATAAATTTAGTTCAGTACCATGAACTTATAGATTAACATAACATCTAAATAGAAGAAGCAAATTAACAGGACTGCTGTTTTAAAAATTAACTAGAACCAATAGAAAAGGAACCCAAGTGCAATATGTCCACAGTAGGTTTAAAATTTGACTAGAACCCATAGAAAAGGAACCCAAGCACAATATGTCCGCAGTCTTGATCATTATATACCAGTAACCAGTTCAAATTGGGTAAAAGCACAAAATAACCATCTTTGCTTTTAGATGTCAGACATGAATTATACCAAACTGTCTTTACTCTCAGTAAAAAGGCGTATAGCATCATCAGCCGCTCCACTCGCAATTAAACCCTCCCTGTAATTTGGAATAGGAAATTGCCCAGTTAGCCTAAGAAGGAATATCCTGAATTCACGATTACAAATGTTCAGCACAAAACATCAAAACACCGGCAGGTAACCATTTGATGACATAAGTAGACAAAAATATCCTAAAAAATATTATAATTATTCTTAGTCTCATTTCTGAAATTGCATGAGAAACTTATATGATTCAACCCTCAGTCTCCCGTAAAAAAATACTTACATAGATGCAAACATGCAGCACAATTGTCCAGCACATGACCGAAGAATCCTATTTTTCAAGATGGTGGTACTAGCCAATGGTCATGTCAATATCAAATCCCAATATTTTCCCTTAGTTGAAGGGCACCTTGGAACCTATAAATTGGAGCCATATTGATAGTTTGACACTTAAATACAGCCATTATTCTTCAATATTAACTATGATGGATATCTGCAGAGTAAACCAATGGGATTGGCAACAGAAAAGTAATAAACAAAAATAGCTTGTAGTACAGGTAACCAGCATCATAGGGAAAACTCTAGGGTGTGTTTGGCTGTTTTCTCAAAAGAAATTTTCCTGTTACTAAAATAAATAGGCAACATATTTATTTGGAAAACAATTTCCTGTACTCTGGTCTTGAAAACTATTCTTGGGCGAACTGTGATTAAAATATACTAGTATAACAACATATAAGAAGATAAATTACATAATAATATAATATACAAAATTCACAAGATTAAATACCTTTATATATTTTATATAAAATGTAGAAGATGGTACGGACATGTGCTTAGAAATACCTACGAATACGATAGTTAAAAGATGTGAAATGATTAATGTTAGTGGTACAAGAAAAAGTAGAGGAAGACCTAAAACGGCTTCAATAGAAACTATAAATAAAAATTTTAGTAATCTAAACTTTAACCAAACATATGACTTTTTACACATCTCAATAGCAACAAAAAATCCATGTAATGAACTCTAAATAGTTGGGAATTATGACTTTGTTGTTGTTGTATGATAATATATTAATACAACACATTAGATAGGATTATGTCAATTGGTTGGGCCTGATCTCCCCAAGGAAGTTTTTTAGTTGATGTAGTTTCTCATAAACCTGATGTTGTTGGGCACAAGTATACGACCCCTTGGCCACCACATTATCTTAGAAAATTTCTTAAGCAATTTGGTTGAGCTACATAGCACTAGTCCTATCAAATAACCTAATAATATAAATACCTACATAAGATAAAATATTTAAAATATTAACTGTTATATGTTTTAAAATTTTTGTTCTTTTCTCCCAGTCTTTCCATAATTTGCACAACAAGTGATGTCCAAAGCTTAGTTATTGAGAACAAAAACTTGTTCTAAAATATGAATCTTCCTGAGAGCATATCAAAGTCCAAAGACAGCCTTAATTTCTTGTTTGCTTCAGTGTCCTAATATAAACCCCTCGTTTCTCTACTGATCCAATAAGGAGAACCCTGGGGCCCAATAGATAAATTGATATCATAGAACAAAATTCACATGAAGCAACAATTTGTCCAGAGATTCATATTAACATGTTAGATGATTCTATATAGTTGGTTAGAGCAATGGAGTGCAAACGTTACTTTACAACTTTGAGAATAAAGCAACACTTAGAATGAAAATCTGGTAAGAAAATACTCCAAGAGAAAAGATGCAAAGCATAATTTAATACCTTGACCAATGAACTGAGAATATGGTCCGATCATGATATCCAGAAAGGGTACACAGATGACTCCTGAAAGAACCAGAAAATTCCCATCAGATGATAAAAAAAAAGGATTTACAGAGGCAGTTTATCAGAATATGTTGATCAGGTTAAGCCATTAAGAATTTGGCACGAATACAAGGTCAAGATATCCATAAACCATTGTTGAGAACTATATCAACAAATACAAGATTCCTTCAAAAGAATTTTAAACATTAGGTGACTGACTAACTCTCCATCCACTAGAATATGTTAGGCAAAGAAGCTCAGTGATACCAGACTTGGGCCATAGGTTGCTTGTTCTACAACCTACTCACCAGAAGGTACAGATTCTATATCCTTGTAAACCAAACTTCCATATCAGTTTTAGATCACTTGTAAAACCAACCCTCTGAAACATTTGTCAACTGAAAACTTTCTTTGTTTGTAAATCTACATTATAGAAAATATTCTTTTGGGTGAACATGGAGCAATAATGCATGTCTTATAAGCACATAATTAATGGCAAATGACTTGTTGTTTGGATTTTTCACAAATCACTAAATGTACTGTTAATATAATTAATTAATCATTTTCATCCATCTGTTTCATTTAAAGTAAAGATCGTAGGATTGTACACAATTGTATAATTGAAAAGGTAAAGAAAGTATGATAGAGATAATAAAACATAACACTTATTTGTATAGAAATAAAAAAAAATTAAAAATATAAAATAAAAACTACAAATTTAAATAACAGTAAAAACAAAGAACAAAGTGAACAAGCATAAAAATAAGATCTAAACTTTATAAATTACTGAAAATAAATATAAAAAATATTGTTGCATGAAATTAAAACTAGAAGAGACAAGATGAAATCTGTTTTCTTGGAGAGAGGCAGACATATCCGTACACAATAGTATTTTGTGTGCAGTAAAATATAGGACATAACTAGTACTTGAATGTACTCAAAACAATTTGTTTTAAGTTATTGTTGAATGCCAAAAAGACGTTTCCTAGTTTTGTTAGGCCAACCTCCTTTGAGGCTTTTAGTGAACCTATAAAAGAACTATAAGTAACAATATCAAATTAAAAAAATCTTGTTTTTAGTGCTTTTAATCAAGGTTTTTTAATTTCATACCATATCGACATTTCAAGCCTTGCTCGATACGGTATGGTACGAGCATACCGAGCGGTACACCAAGGTGTACAGCTCAGTACGTATATATATATATATGTGTGTGTGTATGTGTATATATATATATATATATATATATATATAAAGGGAGGCGTACGCTGCCTCAAAGTCGTCGCCTCCTTTTCTTCTCCTCATCTACGGCATTCGGCAAAGACGTCAAAGGCCGCAGATGTCTCCAGCCTTCGGCGCGATACAACGAGGAGAAGAACGAGGTCTTCTCCTCATTCACGGTGTTCGGCGAAGACGTTGAAGGCTGCAGACGTCTCCGGCCTTCAGCGCGACGCGACAAGGAGAAGAACATGGTCTTCTCATCTGTGGTGTTCGGTGAAGACGTCGAAGGCTGCAGATGTCTCCAGCCTTCGGCGCAATGCAACGAGGAGAAGAACCCAGTTTTCTCCTCATCTGCGGTGTTTGGCAAAAACGTTGAAAGTCGCAAACGTCTCCGGCCTTCGGCGAAGAACGCGGTGAAGGCCGCAGGCGTCTCCGGCCTTTGGCGAAGGATACAGCGAAGAAGAAGTCGAGTCGTCGCCTCTCCGTTCCTGGATCGGGATCATCAAGGGAGGGCAGCGCCGGATCGAAAAGCGTCAGGGTTCTCCCGATTCTCCCTCTTCTTCGAGCGCCTTCTCCCGATTCTCCCTCAACACTTCTTCCCTCGCCGCAACCAGGCTGATACCGCTCGATAGCGGGCGGTTCGCGTACCAATATGCTAGCGGACTGGTACGTACCGCCCGGTATGGCGGTATCATTTGAAATTAAAATCCTTGCTTTTAATACAATCAACACCGTCTCTTATCAACTGGCCATACCAATTGCTAGTTAGACTAATACATACACCAATACATATGGTATTCCAAAAAAAAACCAAAATGGCTAAAAATTCAAAAACCCATATTTTAATTTTTTTCCTAATTTCTTGGTATATAAATTATATTTAGATAAGAATAAAGTGTATGCAAGCCATAAGTGAATAGAAATTCTGGGTGACTCGAATGAGAGAGAACGAGAGTGAGTCAAAGCACGTGAACGAGGGGGAAGCGAGGACTTAAAGGGTCAAAACAAGGCCCAACATTCAATTTGACCATTCGGACCTGGTTTGACTTGAGAGATCAGTACAGGCCTGTATCAGTTGATAACAATCGAGTTTCAAACCCCATAACAATACTGTTACCAGCCCCATAATAATGTACCGCCCAAAATGGTCCAATCCACATATCGATCAGCAGGCGAACCGATCCATACCACCCATTTCATATCGTATTGAACGGTACGTCAAACCATGTCCTAGTAACATATAATTGAATGAATCCTACAATAGCTCATGACAAATATAGAGTCAGCTTGCAAAGTGATTTAGGTGACATGTAGCAATTAGTGTTTTTCTTTTTCATTATGTCCAACTTTCTTAAACACATCATATCACCTTAAATTGCAACTGTCAGTATTCATACAAACCCAATGCTAATGAAGTAAACTCTTTATATCGGAATTGCTATATGAATAACTTCTGTTGTAATTTGCATTAAAATTTTCAACTTTCATGAATATAGTAATGACTTGGATGGAAATTTGAAACAGTAGCTGAAAAGCTTCTACATTTATAACAGATATTATGTATTGAAAAGCAAAGCCAATACTGTCAAATGAAGTTGCATCTTACCAAGATCCATTGCCATCACCACTTGTCTCAGATGGATTCTGTGAAGTATCCCATATCTTCAAAGTAAGATCATCACTGCATAAAGAAGAAGCAATAAGATGCCATATAATCATCTTTCTTGTTGGTAACAACGTTAAGAATATGTACCTGCATGTAACCATTCTATCCCCAGCAGAGTTGAAAGATAATGCCCAGACTGTAGATGTATGCCCACTGAGGAGCAAAGATCAAAGTGAATAAGAATTGCAAATAGATCTCAAAGTGCATGAACAAGGATATTTTCTTGTCATCATTACGGTAGTATCTTGCCTAGTATATTTATTATCACATCCATAAGAAGTCATATATAAACTTAACCTTCAATTACCATCACATAGTTATTGTCCATGAAATTATAACTGATGAAAAAATGGAGCACAACCTTATGTCTCTGCAGCTTAATATGCAAAATATGGATGGCAAGGACATAAAGCAAGAATCTTTCACAAGACGAAACAGGATATCTTCCAGCAATATTATTTTCTTTTTTTTATTTTCCTTTTTTTAGGCAAGGTCAACAATAATGAGATAGGATAATTTTGAAACCCTTGTTATGCTTACAAACAAAAATGACACAAGTTCTTAAAGGTTTAAATCTTCAGAGGAGATAGAAATACAGCTTTTGAAGGTGGTTCCCAAATAGATCTGAAGAGAAATCAACTAGGAAAAAAGGGGTGACTTTATTGATACTGCAGAAACTACAAACAGATAAAGCTCCCTGGGAGATGCTTCAGTTACTAGGTAAGAGATAGCATGAGCAAATTTACAGCATGAAGTTAAGGGGACATGGCTGACTGACAAATTTATTACATTCTTCAATCATTGATAGTACTATTACTAGTTTGACACATGGGACACCTGTACAATAAACTGAACAATGCAAAAAGAAAAGTATTGCCAGAGTATTCATCACATGATTTGTACCAATTTGTAGGAATGTTAGTTGCCAATCACATAGGAACCTTGGCTCACTAGTCTGTCATCCCAGTTGAACAACAATTGTTTTGTTATAAAATTGTCTTCTCAACTGGTCATGTAACTACTCATAACAAGATGAGCGAGATTTTTGTCCATTTGACCTCTTAACCTCTGTCATCTGTAGAAATGGGGCATTACCTGTTTCTTTAGTTAAATTTATATGGCATCTATATAGCTTCCCTCTGAACCACTAAAATGGATATGTTTATCAGTCAACAAAGCTAAGAAGTTAATTTCATGAATGAACAATCACAAGAAACATATCCTGAAATTTTAAAAGCAGAAGCAGTATCAGTAGTCCAAAATAAGTTTGCTACTACACTCAACATCCAAGTTTATTATAAGTTTCAATTCCCAATGAATATCATTTGCCTACAGATAGGTAATAACAACATGAACGAATTTGTCTCATATTGGATAGTAAAGGAAGATGTATAACTTCAGTACCTGTTAGCTTCACCTAATGTTAGCACACAATGCCAATCATCATCACCATCCTCAGTCCAGACCTTGGTATCATAACAAGTTCAGTTAGGTTCAAGAAAGATTGCATGAAACAAATAACTAAATGGACATTTAGGTTCAAAAGCTAAAACATAGCTGAACAATTCCATACCTTGACAGAGTTGTCATAGCCAACAGAAACCAAAATATCCAGGAAGGGATGCCACTGGACCATCTTAACATCCTGTGTGTGACCTTGCAATACCGAAACACACTCAAATTCATTACCCGGTTGAGCTTCCCAGATCCAAACAGTCTTATCTCGAGCACATGTTGCAAGCAAGGATCCAGAGGCATTCCACGAGACACTCTTAACTTCGTTTTCATGACCCTGAAGAAGGGCAAAGTGTGAAGGGAAAAAACTGATTTACTTATCATTCAAGCAACGTGAAGCTGTAAAAGTAAAATAATAAAGAAAAGTGATACCAATTTGCTTAGGCATAAACACACTGAACCATGCAAATTTCATCATTAGTGTTTACCTCAAGTGTCGCAACACATTCAAATTCACCGCCAACATGTTCCCATACGGCAGTTGTACCATCAAAACTTGCTGTAGCCAACAATTTTCCACTAGGAGACCATGCACAAGACCGGACCGTCCGAGTGTGAGTATCTTCAAGAACAGACTGTGATAAGATAATTCAATGCAAATTAATTCTTGCAAGCCAAATATCAAACAAGTCCATAGACAACTCAAAGATATGAATCGATAGATTATAGATTAAAATAGCTTAACCTACACATTTGAGTATAATGCCAGAGGATGAGATACGTTATCTAATACCCATAACAGATGATATCTAGATTAGAAGTCCAAAACTAATTCAGCCGACGCTAACTAGTAGCTTCTATTACAAATTAAGCAGTTCCCTTCAAAATTCAGGACTACAGAAACCTGCTTCCACTTCATACGGAATTAGCAAACAACAATAATCCAGGAAACCATGTACGAAAACAAAGAAGATGAATCATAGAGGGAAACACAAACCGAGCAATTCCAGGAACCAGAAGGCCCCTTCTGCCAGATCCTGACCGTCTTATCGCCGCTGCAAGAGGCAAGCATCCCGGCGACGCCAGTAGCCGCGGGGTTCCACGCGAGACTCCAGACCCGATCGGTGTGACCTTCCAGCTTCTGGATCTCCCTCAGTTCCAACTCCCCGTCCAAGAGCTCCATCTCCACAGCCGCCCGCAGCCGCCACGGATCGCCGACGACGGAGAAGCCCGGTTCAATCGGACGAAGAGATTTAGGGTTTGAATCCGTGGCCCGTGAGGAAGCTAGGGTTTCGAAGAGCTCCTGTTCTGGCTCGGGAGGCAACCTTGCGTCGAGCGATTAGCGAGCAGGAAACGGCAAGATCTTCTTACCGACGGCTTGCGTCGAATGAAGTCTCGGGTGAGTAGCGCACGAAGAGCGCAGCGATCCCCTCTTTTACGAAACGGGCCTCAGAATCCAAACCCGAAAGCGAATCCGTTTTCAAGTTATTTTGAATCCATTAAGATAGGGTACAAAATTAATGCCCGATCCGAATCCGATTTAATAGAATACCCATCCTCGGATCCGGATTCGGATCTTCATACAAAATATTAATTATATGGCCCAAAAATAATTATCATTATTGTACAAAAGATTTATGACGTCACGAAGGTTACGGCCCAACTAGCGTCCCACGGGTCAAAGCCCAAAACACTCCCCAGAAAACATATCATCCGTCGGATCCAAATCCGACGGTAGAGGGCGACTGGTTGAGTCGGAGCCGGCATTTTAGGGTTCTATTTCCTAGGCACGGCGATTACTCGTCCCTGCAGTCGACAGCTGCCCCTTTCGTGGAGGTCCCGGTGAGCCTCCGGCCTATTCTCGCCTCGAAATCCATATTCTTTTGCTCGAATTTTCGCTTATCGATTTGTTTCCGGCGGCGGATCTGATATCATTCTTGTGTTTTTGCTTGAAGGATTGCAGTAGGAAAGAGATACACGTCTGAGCGATGAGGTAATCCGAGTTCTTCAAGTCCTTTTCGCGATATCATGATTGGGCTCTCATCATATATATATATAAAGCAATCGGCTCGGGAGAGAGAGCGCGCGCGTGTGGCGATGGATGTGAGTCCGTCGTCTTTTGGAGACGCTTTGGCTACGGGCGACTACTTGGCTGCTACCTGGGATTATCACGAGGTCAGGCACGGTTCATCTCTCTCTCTCTCTC